AATTAAATATCTAACCATTTGCATTATCTGTAACTCACATAACCAAGCCATTAACATTTTATAAATGAATGCATTATTAAACCTGGCACTATCTCTCGTGTCCGCATAGCATGTCCAAAACACCAAGATTACTACACGGCAACGTACCGAGCGATTCATGGACAACATGAATAGCGCCCTCATGGGACTACAGCACTTAACAATTAGCAAACACCACATTATTATGGCATTTGCACAGAGGAGTTTTTCTGAGATCTCACGATCACTCCCTCTGATGAAATAGCCCATTTTGTTACTTATGAATTGCGGCGCCGCGCCCCTCCGACGAAGGCAAGGGCGCCCTCCTCCTCGAGGCGCGGCGCGTCTGGGGGGGGGGGCCGGAGAGTCCCAGTGGCTGAGTTCGGGCGGCTTGTTCCCGTACGTTCACGAACAGTTCGATTTGTTGTTCGAACGCCAGGAACAAACAACCGGTTATCGCTGGTAGTTAGTGGCAAGCAACATGCAACATGGCGGCGTCCGTGTGGGCTACGTAATTCGAGAGTTAATGTTTGGGTGGGCTGAATTCTTTTCTATATAAACCGGAACATTCATTTCTGTGTTACGGAAAATTATAAATTTTAAGTTCCCATTGTCTATGGCTTTGGAAGCCATCTTTTCACTTTATCCAGACGAGGAGGTGGTGTGTGATTCTGTTACGAGAACAGTGTTCTTGAGTCGTGTTCCCGCAATTCGAGCGCGAGCACAAGAAACCCGTGTCAAGAACTGGCCGCCCGAACTCGACCTGAGCGGCTAGGGACGAGTCCGTTGGGACCGAAGTATACCGTCCCCCAAGAAAGTTGGTCTGCGTCGAAGTGATGGCTAAATCTGATTGGTCGAAACTTAGTGACGTAACCCGGACAGACCTGACTTGAAATAAACTTCGCCGGAACACCTGACTTATATGCAACAATTAATAAGCGGCCGGTTTATTCATCAACACAACCAACCAATTACCAGCAGAAGGCGCTCTCATTGGGAAGACTGTGTGACTAGACCTTGCCCTGAGCAATGAGCCCCACGATAACCCGTGTGCATCCAGTGCCACCGGGACCTGAATAAGTCAATAGGGCTATCTCAGGGCTAATACACCACTCACAACTAGTGCTGCGAGACAGCAATCCATCCTAAATCGACCTTAAGCTCCCAGAAGAAACTCTTACCGCACTACCAAATAGCCCCTTAATTAACCCACCAAGCCCCTCAACGACACACGCACCACTCGGTACTAGCCACAATAACGACCCAACGTACGAGGGTCTTACCTGTACGCCCGCTTGGTTGCTATGCTCAAACCACAGTTCAGGGTTTTTGTAGCAGGATGGAACCCAATACAAGGTTCCCTATTACGTGCTCCCGTCGCGCGTTATATAGCCTTCGCGCTGCTGTGACCACGCCCACATACGCGCGACCAAGCAGTGACTTTTGCTGCCCTATTGCACTACGCATAAGGCGGAGCCTATGCGCCGTGCTCGCTTAACGCTCATTTATGCGCGCCTAACATCTGCCTCTGTTAGCGCCATCTATAATTTCCGCTATGCGCTATGCCTAGCACCCTCTGTCGCGTCACAGAACTTAGCTTTCCAGTAAATGTCAACGTCAAAGTCTTAGCCAAATTTTTACCAAGTCTTTGAACACTGATATATTGGAGGGAGGAGAAAAAAATTACAAACTCTGCATGGGTAGTGGAACAATGTATCAACATTTTAAAAGTTTATTTACGATGGCAAAAGTAGGTCTAATGTCGGGGATTTTTCTCTCTTTATTTCCTGGTCACAGCAATAATTTGTATTTAATTGCAAGCACAACACTTCAAGTATTGCTAGGATATTGGCATTGCTTGTCTGGCGAAGATGCAGGCAGTGATCAGGCATTTTTGGAATGTTTTCTATTAATCGTCTGACTTTGCAGCGACCATCATTAAACACTTTGAAGTGCAAGAGTTACAATTCCTGTGCCCTTCCTCTGTGTGTAGAAAGGGCAGGGTCCTTTGTATAGACGTGTATTGTTCAGTGCGTAGTTGGTTGGGCTAACTGGAGTTTCTATATGATTTTGGTACATCGTCACAAGTTTTATTGGCCACAAAATTACAAATTATCCCTAATATTAATCAAGGGTAGATCCAGAACAGAAATAAATCATTGTTTTTGTGGGGTGGATGGGGGCCAAAGCATTTCAAATTTCTGTGTATCTTGTATAAATACGGGATTGTTTGCTTTCCAAAGGAAATGACCCTTTTCTTCGTAGTTTGTCAAAAACAAAAGCATTTTGACTTTGGCCATGCTCTCCTTGACCCTATTCTTCAATGAAGGTATCCACTTTAGTAGATGACAGTTTTGTTACAATCATAATTTTCATTTATAGAAGATATGCATTACCATGTATGTTTACAAAACAGTTGAAATAAGCCGTTTCACTTGATGCAAGTTTGACTTACATGAGGATTAATTTCTGTAATGTACTTTTAGTGGAGCTGATTTGCAGTTATTTTTAATTGTTTTTCTG